GCAAAACTAAGTTTACCACCAAGAGTACCAATTGTAAATCTAGGTTTAATGTTGTTTTGGATGATTCTGGTTGTAGGCGTGTCTCTAAGGTTATTCACGATCACAATCATGATTGCTCCATGTCATATCGCGCCTGATGGCTTGACATAGGTCCATTAGTGATTATTTGAAGAGGAATCTTGTAGCTCACGATCGATCTGGCATTAGACCTCCAAGAAAATTAGACTTGCTGAGGTTCAACGTGGTGGACCGCAAAATTTGAATTGCACTCCAAAAGATTATAGAAATTTTATTTTAAAGAGTAGGAATTTTAAAATGTAATAAGGGGACGCACAGTCATTGCTCAAACTTTTTAGTGAAATGCAGGTAAAAGATAGGGAGTTTTTCTATTCAATAGACGTTGATAATATTAGTAGGCTGCGAAATGTGGTATGGGTATATTCACACTATAAGGCGGCGTATGAGCAATTCCATGATGCGATATTCTTTGATACGATGTACCTTGTGAATCACTATAATATGCCATGTGCTACATTTGTTGGCATCAATCACCATAGACGGTCCATCTTACTGGGATGTACTCTCATGTCTCATGAAGATATCGATAGTTACAAATTAGTTTTTAGAACTTGGCTTGAGGCCATGGAAAATGTTCATCCAGATGCTATCATAACTGACTAGTGTTCGAGCATTAAGCCAGTCATTGCTGAAGTGGTGCCACATACAATACATAGTATTGTATTTGACATATATTTTCAAAGTTTCCTCTTTACTTAAGTGGTGTTCGTCCTTCTAAAATTGCACGTGGAGAATTTAAATCCATGGTCCTTGATAGCATTACTGTTGAAGTTTTTGAGAGAAAATGGACATAATATATTACAAAGTACAATATGCATACAAGGAATTGGTTCAACAAGCTTTTCTCTGAGATGAAAAAATGGGTTCATGTGTACCTTGATGTGTATTTTTTAGGCTGGTATGCTGTCTACGCAAAGAAGTGAGGGGATGCATGCGTTCTTTGATGGATATATTACCCATCAAATCACTCTTAGGATATTTTTTCACCAGTACGAGTTAGCTATAAGAGCTAAGCATGAGAAAGAGTTGGAAGCAGAATACAGATCAAAGGGCTTTCAAATTGTGTGTGAGTCATTGTTCAAGTGAGAGTAACGAGTAATTCATTGTTATAAGCATACAGTAATTCACAGTCAGCAGCCCTGACAATCATCAAGTTGTCCCTGGTATAGAGAAATTCATCGTGAATGATTATTCAGTTGTACAAAAAATGATGAAAATCCATTAGAGTACACAGTTGAATATACACCTATCGATGATTTTTTAGTTGCAGCTGCAAATGGCTCACAGCCGTATCAAATTCAACATCATGACTCACAGCCATATCACGCCATCAAACAACTTATAAAATAATTTATTTTCTTATTTGTATTTTTTATAAAATAATATATTTGCCGCTAGTCTAAGACTACCGATCTGCCAAGCTCACACTTGTCCCAATACATAGACCGGGTAGATAAAATATATTTTTCTAGACAGGTTTTAAAAAGCAAGCATCAAATCTTAAAGTCTCATTTACCTCGCTAACGAAAAGTTTTCCAACCTTGCAACGTCTAGAACACCAACCAAATAGTCTTCAATGGCCTCAATCTATACAACATATTGATAAATGATATCACTTAATAGGTCAAACTCAATATCTCTAACTTTCAAGCTTAGAGTTAAACCTTAATATTTCACACCTTAAACCTTGAATTAAAGGAGAAAATTTAACACTATCAACTACTAGAAATTCGGCCAAAACCGACCGCGGCCAACCGACCAACCGACCAACTTCGGTCACCGAAAAACCGACCGAAGTCTAGTGGTAGAATAGTATCCTGCCATAGTACAGACCCTGGTTCGAGTCCCAGACGGTGCATTTTTTAATTTTTAATTGCATAATTAAAAATACCGACCGACTTCGATCGATTTTTTCGGCAGATTTTTCTTTTTTGGGTCGTTTGTGAAAATTAATTTACTGACTGAAATCGATCGAAAATTGCGACCGACTTCGGTCGCTATTTTTTACCGACCAACTTAATTTCGACGGATTAAAGTCAGTCGGAAATCGGTCGGTATTTCTGAACGGTTTTAGGCAGTTTTCTAGTAGTGATCGCTATCTAACTTAATTATTCAATTACAATTTATATAAATTAATACTTGTACTCCAAGTATATAAAGTAAAATAAAGCATCTTCATACGTTAGAAAAATAACGAGCAGTAGCTGAAAGGAACAAGTCCAAAAATTCAAATAAGTTTTCATTAAATAATTGAGTTAAAAATCTGATGCAAATTTTGATATGGGGTTCTCATTAAAAATTCAAATTCCTATCTCTAATCCTGCTAATCATTACAGAATGATTGACACCTATTATGGCCAAAAATCCTAAGGTTTGTAAAACAATTAAAAATGGCCAAATACACAAAATTCATTTGGACATCTCAACTTAGTCATGTTTCATTTAAATACTTCAACTATATTTCAACTGTGCCATTTAAACACAAAATATTGTCGTGGCAAAAAGATTGTATTCACGGCTCTAGGGCGCGTGACTGGATCTGATATAATATTTTCCTTTTCTTTTTATATCCCTTTTCCCCCAAAAGTTCATCACCACCGTCCCTCGCCTATTGCTATAACTCATCTGTCACCATTTTCATTCCTCTCTTTCCTCCACCACTCTTCCCCATCCCCCTCCACTATCTTGAAGCAAAATAGGCCGAAAATCTTTTTAATTTATTAGGAATTTTGCTGGCTTAATAATGACATAATCTATGTGTTGAAGCTTTTTACAAAATAAAATGCATAGAAAGAGAAGATTGTTGGCTCCTCCATTTATGTTGCTTTGTTCGATGATGAATTCGGGTAACATCAGTTTGAAATTCTTGTTACCCGGTTCTTCGAAAATTTGAAGCTTTAAGAAAAATTAGAAATTTCATATTATTGTTGATAATATCAGTTAAAGATTAAAGCTGAAACCTAAAAGCTCCATGAACACCCATTCGAGTTCAAAGCTTTAAATTTCGAATTTCAAATTTGGAGGTTATCTTATTATGTTTTCATTCCCACTTGATTTTGTACTTGAATTTCAAAGATTTGGGTTGGTTGATTTTGACCCATAGATGATTGATGTGGTTATTGGAGTTTCTATGGGCAATTTTATTGTTGAATTTCAATTCAGATCTGGTTTTTTTTTCAAGTGTTTAGGTGGTGGCATTCTGGGGAAGAAGTGAGAAACGAGCTTGGCAATTAGTGATGGAATTTTGCAACAAGGCCATGAAAAATTCTGATAATGTGATCGACGGCTTAAGCAAAAAAAATGGTAAAGGAGAAAGAAAACTAAAAAGCAGAAATAATACATGATTCTTCTTCCATTTTCATTTTTTTCCTTTGCTGACTTGTCTTTTTGTTAGTGGTGTTAATTGTCATGTCAATGGCAAGTATCGTTCACGCACTTAAGTTTTGCTTAGAGTTGTCAAAATACTCCCTCCGTTTCAATTTATGTGAACCCATTTGACTGGGCACGAAGTTTAAGAAAAGAGAGAAGATTTTTGAACTTGTGGTGTAGAATGAAGCTCATATATTTTGTGTGGATATAAATCATTACATAAAGGTAAATTGTTTCCAAATAAGGAAATAGGTCATTCTTTTTGGTACGAAGTAAAAAGGAAATAAGTTCACATAAATTAAAACAGATGGATTAATATTTAAGTGAAACAGTTGAAATGTAATTGGAGTATTTAAATGTAACATGACTAAGTTGAGGTGTTTTAATGAATTTTGGTGCCAAATTTAAGTGGACGCATATATGTTTGGCCATTAAAAATTAATGCAAAGTAAGGAGAGTTGAACAGTAGCGAAAATTCACACATATGCACAGCTAATTTCTCTAACTTTTACTTCTAAAGAATTACCCATCATTGTATCCCCTAATAATTAATACTATCACATCATGGCTTGGTATTGAGCCATCATTACACTTATTACCAAAACTAATTTGCAGAATAATTTTTATTTACACAACAATGAACTAATTAATCGGTATACCTGCACTATAAAAGCTAACCACCTAGTTTCTTACGATGCCGCCGCTAATTTCCCCAATACAAATCTTCTCAATTTCTTGATTAAGGAGGCATCCTTAGCGGAATATCTTAAAATTAGAGGTGGAGTCAGGAATTAACCCCAATAGCCGCCTACCTAGTTTTTTAAAACTAAAAAGAGCCGTTGGATATATAATATATGTAAAATTCATGTATAAAATGTGTATAACTGTATATCATCAATATATAATTTATGTATACCGGTTAGAAAAAGTAAACAGTAAATCCCGCAAGCTATTTGTGTAAAAATCCCTTTCAATTTTATAGGTGCTGGATTTTAGAACATAATTTCAAGTGCTCCAAACTTAGTTCTAAATTTAATATTTATACATATTTAATGAACTTTTTAATATAATTATTTTATTTAAATAAAAATTATTGGGTGTGACCGAACTCAGAATTCATTCTTCTAGTTCTGCCCCTGCTTAAAACGGATATTGTAGTTATTGCTAATTATATTTCCTCTTGTCCACTTTAATTGATTTTTTGGTCTTTTTTTGTGGTTCACAATATTTAATTTTTTTTATTAAGAAGGAATTAAATTCTTTTTTTCAAAGTTGTCGTTGGAGTAAAGAACTTAGGAGAATTTATTATATTTTTAATGAACAAATTAAGTTTAACATAGTTAATTTTATTGTTAATTAATATTAAAAAGTGAATTCTTAATATGTGTGATAACAGTAAAAAAAATTAATTAAAGTGAATTGGAGAGAATACTATTTAAATAAAAGTTATTACACATTCGACTGAACCGTATTCAGGATTCTAACTCTGATCCTGCTTAAAATGAATATTGTAGTTAATGCTAACTTAAATTTGTTTACCCCGCTACGTAGTGTTTCAAGATAAACTACTCCTACTTTATACTTACAAGTTTTGTCTTCTTCCATTAATGGTTGCCTGTTCCCATGTCATACAAGCATTTTCTAAAACACTGTCGCACTAGTGTCTCCCACAACCAAATCAAATACACTAATTTATTGGGTTGAACTCTAAGAAAGTCGTCGCTTTAGCTGAAATTTCTGAGTTCCAACTTCCAACCATGTCTTCTTCCCCTAAACTCCGCCATGAAAATGGCCCAACAACCACCTCAAAACCCGAACTTAAACCCATAACCGGAACCGAAATTGAGGCAGAGTTCTCACACCACGACCTAACCGTAGCCCGCATCAACAACGGCAGCTTCGGATCATGCCCGTTATCAATAATCTCTGCCCAACAACAATGGCAACTTCAATTCCTTAAACAACCCGATTACTTCTACTTCAACACTTTGAAACCCTCCATGCTTAAATCCCGTACCTTAATCCAATCCTTAGTCAACGCCGAAGATGTCGACGAAATCTCTATCGTCGATAACGCCACAACAGCCGCCGCAATCGTCCTCCAACACGTCACTTGGTCTTTCTTTACTTCCAATTTTCAACCCGGTGACGCTGCCGTTATGCTCCATTACGCTTATGGTTCAGTTAAAAAATCCGTTCAGGCGTATGTTGCACGCGCCGGCGGCAAGGTAATTGAGGTCCAGTTACCTTTTCCGTTATTGTCGAATGAAGAAATTATTACTGAATTTGATAAAGCTCTTAAAATGGGGAAAATTAATGGAGGGAAAATTAGGTTAGCTGTAATTGATCATATTACTTCTATGCCTAGTGTTGTTATACCTGTTAAGGAACTTGTTGAGATGTGTAGAAATGAAGGCGTGGATATTATTTTTGTTGATGGTGCTCATGCTATTGGAAATGTTGAAGTTGATGTAGGTGATATTGGAGCTGATTTTTATACTAGTAATTTGCATAAATGGTTTTTTTCTCCGCCTTCCGCGGCGTTTTTGTATTGTAAGAAATCGGATAAGGTATTGGATTTGCATCATCCTGTGGTATCGAATGAGTATGGGAACGGGTTGCCAATCGAGAGTGCTTGGATAGGGACGAGGGATTATAGTGCACAATTGGTGATACCGGAGGTAGTGGAGTTTGTGAACAGGTTTGAAGGCGGGATTGAGGGAATTAGGAGAAGGAACCATGATAAGGTTGTTGAAATGGCAGAGATGTTGGTGAAGGCGTGGGGGACGAAATTGGGGACGCCATCAGAAATGTGTTCGAGTATGGCCATGGTTGGAATGCCTGCATGTTTAGGGATTTCTAGTGATTCGGATGCTTTGAAGTTGAGGACTCATTTGAGGGTTTCGTTCAAGGTTGAGGTTCCGATATATTACAGGGCGCCATTGGAAGGGGAGGTAAATCCGATAACAGGTTATGCTAGGATCTCCCATCAAGTTTACAATACCATCGAGGATTATTATAGGTTTCGAGATGCCATTATCAAGCTTGTGAACGATGGTTTCACTTGTGCAGTTCTCTCGAATTGACTAGGTGATTCTCTCTTTCAATGGAATAAAATGTCTTTTTCCAACTCTTTACTGATTGGAAATTATTGTTGTATTGTGAATATTAGCTCTTGCAGTGGAAACAACATTTTGTAGAAATGCAAGGTAAGACTGTGTACAATAAACTCTTGTGGTTCGGTCCTTCCCCGGACCCCGCACATAGCGGAAGCTTAGTGCACCGAGCTGCGCCCTTGATTAGAACTTGATGTCAAATTTAGTTCCCTGTGTTGCACTTACAATGTGAATATTAGCTCTTTGTTGTGACCATATGGAATCATTCTATACAAAACTAACCACTGTTGAAACACCAATATTGCTTCTGAATTCTGATGAAGATATCTTTTTTGCCAAGAACCTTTGTGCCTTTCCTATTTGGCAGGATGAAAATTACTAGTTTCAAACTGGGAGCTAAATTTTGCTCAGACAGATTAAATTTCGGATTATTCCGGAAAATTTGAGATGCTTGTCAAGTACAATGGATGAACTATAAGGTTAGTTTTCAGCTTAGGAAAGTGTTGGTCCCAGCAAAGTAGGGGATCGGATTCATTAGCGGGCAGTCCGGTGCACTAAGCTCCTTTCTATGCGCGGGTCCGGGGAAGGGCCGGACCACAATGGTCCATTGTACGCGGTTTTACTCTGTATTTCTGCAAGAGGTTGTTTCCACGGCTTGAACCCGTGACCTCCTTTCCTGGTCACATGGCAACAATTTTACCAGTTACACCAAGATTCCCCTTACATTTACAGAATGTAGTTAGTTTGGTGAATTAAGTAGCAGGATCTTAACATTGAAGGCATTTTCTACTTTTTAGCTTAATTTACTGCTTCATACAAAAATATATATGTTTCTCATTTCTGAAATAACATGCTTACATCTCCGTTTCTACTTAAACTAGTGAAAAAATATCGGCTATGTCCATTTATAAGTAGCTTATTATAAAAATTGGCCAATTCACAAAATATTAGCCAATTAGCTATTTGTAACAAAAAAAAAGGTCAATTTTTTGCTTTCTTTTGAGTGGGTATTATTAGAATAGATTGGGTATATCTTAAGGAGATTTAATCTCAGTTTTTGGGATGATTTGGTGGAGTTTTGAGGTGATTTGAATTGAAAATTTGAAATAGAAGATATGAAAAAAAATGATAGGTGTATCACACTGTGTATCACAAATGTATCATATTTGTATCAAATGTGTATCACATGAATATCCATGTATACATGTGTGTGAGATACATGCGTGATACATGTTTGATCCATGTGTCGCTGAAGAATTTTTTGAACTCGATTTTAACTACGAATTTTGATACCAAATCACCTCTAATCTTCCTCAATTTTTGTATATTGACTTATCTATATGTTTTCAATGAATCTCAAACATACTCATTNTTATTTGCTACCTCATCCATGAAATTTCCTTTCCGTCTTGCATCTAATGATGCTAATCACACTTTAAAATATGAAAGGAGATCTTTGTGTGTGATCTCGGACTTATTTCTTTGGTTTTAATATTTTTATGGTTTTAATCTTTGGTAAGTCTATGATTAATGGCTAGAGGTTGGTAAGTTGGGACTTTTTTTGGGACATTTCTGTAAGATTACCTAAACTAGTTATATTTAGCCTGTGCAAAGCCCGGGCCCAATTCAAAAAATTAAAGCCTGCAAGAGTATTTGAATGGGGTTTTGCATCTATACCCGATTTTGAAATCACAATTAAACTTATACCCAGTTTGCAAAAAAATATGCAAGCCTACCCACTTTACGATCAACTTCAGACTTATCGGGTCTGAAGTTAAAATAAAAACTAGTCTGAAGTGAAAAAATTACACTTCAGATGCACTTAAGACCAAATAGGTTTGAAGTGCAACCAATTGTTTCATGCACTTAATACCAATAAGTCTGAAGTGAAAAATTGTACTTCATATGCACTTAAGGCCAAAAGGTCTGAAGTGCAACAAACGTTTTCCTACACTTAAAGCGAATAAGTTTGAAGTGAAAAATTACACTTTAGATACACTTAAGGTCAAATAGGTCTGAAGTGCAATCAATGGTTTCATGCACTTAAGGCCAATAAGTGTGAAGTGAAAAATTGCACTTCAGATGCACTTAAAGTCAAAAGGTCTAAGTGCAACAAATGTTTTCCTACACTTAAACCTAATAAGTCTTAAGTGAAAAATTACACTTCAGGTGCACTTAAGGCCAAAAGGTCTGAAGTGCAACCAACGTTTTCATGCACTTAAGGCCAAGTAGGCCTGAAGTGCAAATTGCCCAGAAACAGAAATTTATTCTTCGAATTTTAACAATACAATATACGATTTAATACCTAAATCTACTTCAAATTTGAAACATAACCTCCAAATATCATCAAGAACAAACCCCAATAATCAATTTATCAAAACAACAATAAATGTAACGAACCCATTTTGCAATTAAGAAAAAAAAAAGAAACCCTTAGCAATAGTAAAAAATAAATGTCACAACAACTCATCATTGTAAAACATCATAAACTACCTTAAATATGTTCACAAATACCATATAAAATCACTATTACCCGATATGTTTGACTTCTATTTTACTTTTATTGAGATGTACAATCGTTTTTCCTAGATAGATTTTGTTTAGAATATATTTATACACCAATAAGTTTTTCAAATCCAACTGAGCCTTAACATGCTTATCCTGTTGAACTGTCAAATGTTTTTAGTTTTCTAATTTTATAGTAAGCAAAATATTAAATGTTAACTTTTAATTTGGCAATTGATTCTACCAATGAAACAAATTTCATGCACACTATAAATGATATATTGATTAGGGGTGTCAGTGGTTCAGTTCGGCTGGTTACTTTATAAAATTTGTATCATACCAATTTTTCGGTTATTCTATCATGCATAACCAAAATTAGACTTTTAGAAACCATAACAATCATGTCGGTTTCTCTTTGGTATCGGTACAGTTCGGTTAATTTTTGTTATTTTTTTAAATGTCATTTAAAAGTTACTAGTAGAAGCAGAATGCAATAACATATGTATTTTTATAGGACTTACCAAAACTCTCCAGACATTTTTACTGTTTAACGGTATGAATTAAGAAACTATGAAAGATGACCATAGTATAGATCCATCAAGCTCAATAGAAATTGTGCAAAGACAAAGAAAATATAACAAGAGTGGAAAGATATTAAGCAAGCCTGGACTTAAGAATAAAGTCTATAGAAGATCAAATATTTAAAAATATAAATTTAAATTATACGAAAGGAAATATATTCAATACATTGTAGTTTGCTACTCATAATCTCTAGAATATCTTGTGTCTTGATAATAATATGCTGGAAATAATTTAGTTTCAATATGATTAGTATAATAGGTTTCAGAATTAAGATTTTGAGTTTAATTACTTGTTGCCTTGTAACCGTTTTCATAATTTCAAGACCCAAGGAAAAATTTAATGCTTTATTATTTTTAAACTTAATATATAAATATATTTTCCCATGTAAATTTATTTGGTACAGTTCGGTATTTTTTCGGTTTATTTTCATAAAATAAAAAATATACCCTAATTATCAATACAGTTATAGATTTATATAAAAACCTATGATTTTATTAAAAGAAACCTAAAAATCAGTTCGAAGCGATACGATTCGGCCGATTTAGTTGGTTTTAAATATCCATTGGCACCCCTAATATTGATCATGTATTGTCGCAAAAAGTAAGTTGCTTAGATAATCTTATATGAGAAAGACAGACAACAACTACCTCTTATAAATTTATTGTACACACCAGAATAATACTTTTCATATAATGAGGCGACACAGCCCAAACAAATAAAGTTGATATATAAAATTTTCTCGAGTAATTTTATTAGGTAAATGGTATTGGATAATTCTTTGCACATTGCAACAATGTTTTCATTTCATAAATAAACTTTATTATAATGTATTTTAAAATATGGTTTTTATGCTCTTTTCGTCGAACATTTACAGCTAAACAATGCCATCTTTTAAGACTCTTGAATTAACGCGATATATATACATGATCATAAGTAAATAAATTAGTTAGAAGTGCAAAAACAAATTGACTTAGTAACTTATCTTTGTCTTTTCGGGACCACCTTTTATTTTTAAAATAACTATTAAGAAATTTCAACAATATCATATTGCTACACCTGTATTATAGTATAAGACTAATAAAGTTTCTCGTAATTAAAGATATTATGTAAAATAAAACAATGAAGAATTCTATACTAATGTTTGTAGACATTTATTCAAAATTGAATACCAAAGAATTTAAAAGGTTTACCACGTACTCTTTTATGAGATACTCTTTTTTATTTATTTTGTATCAAACAAAATGACATTTTTTAGGAAGAAACTAATTTTAAACTTCTCAATTTAGTCTTAATATGATTATTTATAGCCATGCAAATATATATAATATGTTTTTACACAAATTTCTTTACTTACATATTTTAGTTTCTTTAAGTGTATATCTTAGTAAGATATCTCATTTATATGTTTGATAAGAATACAAGACAACATCAAAGTACTCCCTCCATCTTATAAATTTTCATGTTAATTGTGTTGAAGCAAAGTTCAATCCAAATTAAGCATACAAAAGAATTAAAAAAGTTTATCCACGTTCCGTCTTATGTGATACTCTTTTTTATACTTTGTACCAAATAGATGGATATTTTTCTTTACAAGAGAACTAATTTTAAACTCCTCAATTTAATCTTAATATGATTATTTATAATCACATAAATAAATATAATATTTTTGTAGAGTCAAATTTCTTTAAGTACGTATTTTAATTTCATTAAGTGTATATTTTAGTAACATCTCTAGTAGTAAGCACCCTCCACGTCCAACAAATAGGTTGTGAGTTCGAGTCACCCCAAGAGCAAGGTGAGGAGTTCTTGGAGGGAGGAAGCCGAAGGTTTATCGGAAACAGCCTCTCTACCCAGGGTAGGGGTAAAGTCTGCGTATAAACTATTCTCCCCAGACCCCACTAGTGAGATTATACTGGGTTGTTGTTGTTGTTGTTGTATATTTTAGTAAGATATCTAATTTATATATTTGATAAGGATACAATACATCATTAAAGTACTCCCTCCATCTTATCAATTTTCATGTTAATTTTTTTGAATCAAAATTTAATCCAAATATTAAGCATAGATCCTTTCAAGACTATTCTGTTTCATTTTCTTAATTAAACCTAATATTATGATTGTTACTGGCTAGGGAATCCCATGTTTTGAGAAGTTAGAATTTAGAAAGAGAAAAGACAAATGATAAAGTCTATTAAAGGCTGTCACAATAGCCAAGAGTGGGTCCCGCGTGAATGATT